AGAAAACTTTTTTTCGGCTCCCCTGGATGTGGGATACAGAGCTCCCCCATAATTCGATCCCTGCTCCTGGATGAAAAGCCGGACATTTTCATCAAAACAAGAACCCCCAGTCCGGACGCCCCGGACAGAGAGTGAAAAGTGGACACGGTCCATCTCTACTTTTTGTATTGTGTTCTCTCTGTAAACATGCTGTTAACTTGCTTTACACATCTTCTAATTGAAATCTGTCTGTATCATATATATTTAATTTTTTCATAAGTTTGCGTTTGGTGCCCCTCCCCGGCGTGGTGCCCTACGCGCTATGCGTGGTGTGCGTGTGCGGAGCGCCGGCGCTGACCTCAGGCGTCGTGGTCCCACAACCCAGCCCGTCGGAGCTCACCGCCACCACTGTAAAACCGTAAAATGTGGATGCAACAGACCCTGGGTCAGTCAGGAGCGCTGCAAAAAAAAAAAAAAAAAAAAACCAGCAATCACAGGATTGCATTGTCTGAAATCACAATTTAGATCAGAAAGTGATAGCTTAGCTTTACAAGCTGGTGACGATTATCGAGCAGATGATGGGTGTTTATAAATTCTGTGGATGCCGTGTTCCGACCTGCTGTACCCATGTGACTATGACCCAAACACAAAATACAGGCAGACCATCTAAAAGTCGGACGTCTTAATCACGTTGAAGCTAAGTTTGAGCAAATCGAGACTTGTCACGTAATATTTTTCGCTTATTTACTTGAGCACTAGTGTTCTCCTCCAACCCTGCAGAGTCCACGCTGTATTCTGACACAGCTGGTGTTAGGTCGCCGTGGAGATCCGATCAGGACATCCCTATAATATGTTAATAATTATACCTGTGTTTGTATTTGCTGCATTAATGGAATTCCTTTTAATTGGTGTGTTTTTGCAGTTTGAGATGCTAACAGGAACTTTACCTTTCCAAGGGAAAGACCGCAATGAGACCATGAACATGATTCTTAAGTAAGTTCAATTCAAGTTTATTTATAAAGCGCCAAATCACGACAAGAGTCGTCTCAAGGCACTTCACATAATAAACATTCCAATCCACAGTTCATTAAGCCAATCAGAAATAATGTTTCCTATATAAGGAACCCAGCAGGTTGCATCAAGTCACTGACTAGTGTCAGTGACTATACAGCAATCCTCATACTAAGCAAGCATGCAGCGACAGTGGAGAGGAAAACTCCCTTTTAACAGGAAGAAACCTCCCGAGGATCCTGGCTCAGTATAAGCAGCATAAGTCTCGAGTAGAGGATCTTTGTGCCATTTTAAAGTATTTGTTCCAAATAATTACTATCTTACTCATTTTATTTGACTTCCTGAGTGAATTGTGTAAAGATCAACAGTTTACGTCCAGCAGGATAGACCAGCTAACGGCTAGTCTGAACACAGCTGAGACCAAAGTGTTTTGGTGCCTCTTAACACTGCTTCAATATTATAATTCATTAAGTGTCATTTCATAAACCTTCACGTTTTGTAGTTTCTTATACAGATTTAGCTGCTAGCTTGTCAGGCTTGTTGGATTTAAAAGCTGTTTTTCAGGACAGAGGCTGTTCAGGAAACTACGATTAGAAGCTCTACGTTGTTGTTTTGCATCTTTTTGAGGCCCTGGCTGGCCGTTTTCACTTGCTGACTGCTTCTCTTCCCACTCAGAGCTAAGTTGGGAATGCCTCAGTTCCTAAGTTTGGAAGCCCAGAGTTTGCTGAGAATGCTGTTTAAACGTAACCCCGCTAACAGACTAGGTAAGGGTCATCAGAGCGAGTGCTCGCAAATCTCTTCTAAGTCTCATTAGCATTTTGGCATCTTACCTGAACAACATGCAGATAAACGCTGAGGACAAGCAAACGTTGATCCAGGTGAACTGAACCAAGGTGGTTTGTGTCTTTAGGGGCGGGGCCTGATGGAGTGGAGGAGATCAAACGCCACGCTTTCTTCTCCACCATCGACTGGAATGTGAGCAGACCTTTCAGCCCTCCCTTTCACCCACCCACCCACCCACCCACACACACACACACACACACACACACACACACACACACACACACACACACACACACACACAGCTCTGTAGCTTCTGCTGAAGCTTCACGCCTTCTCAAACGTTTGGCTTCAGGACTAGTGGGCGTCCGTCCCGGCCCCAGCGGCTCTGTTAGTGTGTGTGGGAGTCTGGGCAGCTGTCCAGGTCTCACTGTGTGTGTGCGCTCATATGCCTGTGTGAGTGTTTAAGCGCCAGCGGGATGCTACTGGCTGGACTTAGCTGCAGAATGGATTGAGGGGGTTAATCCGGGCAGAGTGGAGGGGGCTTGGCTTCTCTTGCATGCAGGTCCATCCGTTTCTCTGCAGGCTTTAATTTCTGACCTTTATGTTTGTTTACGTCTGTTTACAGAAACTCTACAGGAGAGAACTGCAGCCCCCCTTTAAGCCTGCAGCAGGTAAACCAGATGACACGTTCTGCTTCGACCCAGAGTTCACCGCTAAAACACCTAAAGGTACACACACACACACACACACACACACACACGCGCGCGCGCGCAGTATGCTCTTACAAGCAGCAGCCCTGCCTGCAGCCATGGGAACAGCAACTTAACATTTTTCACTTGTTTGTGCGTTCCACGTGTTTCTGAATGAAAGGTTTGTGTGATCAGACTCCCCAGGTATCCCGCCCAGTGCTAACGCCCACCAGCTCTTCAAAGGCTTCAGTTTTGTTGCTCCAACTCCTATGGATGAGAACAAGAGCTCTCCGATGCTCAGCATACTCCCTATAGTTCAGGTGAATATTAACCTTCACTTCCCACGCGGACCTAATCGCACTTTAACACGTGTACACAAGTCAGACATTCATAGATGTTTCCTGTAGATTCGGTGGAGGCTTTTCTCTTCAGCTCTTGTAGGAAAAGCTTTAGAGGAAGCCTCGTGTCCACCAGGACAGAGTTTTATTTGGCAACCCAGTAGAGTCCAAACCACTCGGCTGTCTGGGGTTCATGCTAAACTCTTATAGAAACCCAGAGTTTCCTTTTCTCTACCGGTTTCATCAGACCGTCTGAGGGTGCTCAGCCTTCTCACTCGTGTGAGAAGAGATCCGCTCCAGATCCTGGGAGTAACCTGCTCTGTTCACTCAGCTGCATGGTGTTGCAGTTGGTAGCAGTGTTGCCTCAGAGTGAGAAGGTTGCAGTTTCAAATCTGGACTGTGGAGTTACCATGCACCACTGGGTTTTCTCCAGGTGCTCCGACTCCCTCCAGCAGATCAGAACCTGCGTGTTAGGGTAACTGCAGGTTCTAAATTGTCACTGGGTGTGACTGTGTGTCCCTGCGATGGACTGGAGACCCGTCCAGTGCGTCTCCCGCCTCTCGCCCAGTAACTGCTGGAATTAGGCTCCGGCTCCCAGCAACGCTGGTGAGCATAGGGTTGTCACGGTATGAAAATTTAACCTCACGGTTATTGTGACCAAAATTATCACGGTTTTCGGTATTATCGCGGTATTTTTTAAACGGTGTTGCATATGTTCAGAAAGCATTGATAGTCCTGTTCTACACAAACTGAAATAGTTCTGAAAAGGTTTAACAGTGTTTATTAAACCTAAAATAACACAACGCCTTAGCAAAAGTGCAACTTTTCACAAGTAAAGGAACAAATAGCTTCTTTTTCTGGAACATGTTACAGTAGTCAGTGCAGGTTTAAATGATACAAATCCAAACATTCAAAACATAAACAATATATAAACAAATCAAAGAAACACCACTTGTTTTCTCATATACTTGTTTTCTTCATTATCAAAATGAAAATCTAAAACTCCAGTCCACACTTGACTTGAGCACTGTACAAGTCAACCTTAAATAATATGTATTTAAAATAAATAGCCACTTTAAAGAAATTACTAAAATAACTACTACACTATGTAATCAAATCCAAATGTTCAAGTATAAATGGCATTGAATAAGTAAACAAATCAATGACAAGGCACTAATTGTATATTTCTCTTCATCATCAACAAATAAGATGCTTCATCCAGCAACAGGGTGTCCGTGACACGGTTTAAATGCTGGCAGAGGACGCTGCGGCTGCAGTATATAGCGACTCGTTGCATTCTCCCTCAGCCAAAAGTCCTCACGTCATGCATTTAAGCTAAAATGCTAATGTTAACTTACCTTGCACTGGCTGTAGAGACGTGGGTGATGGTCACGCAGATGTGCCATGAGATTCGAAGTGTTGCTGCCTTCTGCAGACACTTGTTTCCTGCACGTTCTGCAAACGGGATACCAGTCTTCTATTAACTGTCCCTCAGCATTTTTCAGAAATCCAAAATATGCCCATACTTCCGATTTAGTCTTCTCTGAGGGCTGATGGATGTCCTGGGCGCTGCCGTCTCCTCCTTCGGCCATTATTTCAGCTTCAAAGTTTTGGTGCCGTTGCAAACTAAAAAGTGTGTGTGCGCGCCGCGGGAACTTCAGCTGAAGCGACGGTGGCTGGTAAGGGTCACCGCGCCGAAACCGCGGCCACGGTAAACCCACCGAGATAATATAGTTTTTTAAAAACTGGACGGTTATTTTTATTGTCAACTTTTTTACCGGGGTTTACCGCTATACCGGTTACCGTGACAACCCTAGGTGAGCATGAAGTGGTTCAGATAACGCGTGGATGGATGAAAGTCCATCATTTTAGTCGGATACAAACGTGTTCTGCAGACAGATTTCAGGCACACTCGCATATGTTTTCAACATCGATGGAATCTAAAACCTTCATAGACATAAATGTGCAAAGCCATTTACCCGTGCTGAGTTAGGTCCATTCAAAACGCTGAAAGATGGTTCTCTGCCAACCCCCCAGTAGCGACGTCTGAATCAGGTGTCTCACGCGTGGACAACACACTTCCACAGCAGAAACAGCGGCTCAAACCCATCACCTGCTACCCGATACTCCTCAAATCCTAGAATCTGTTGGCTGGAGCTGACCTGTAACGTTTTCAATGGTTACGTTTGAATGTTTTCTTGCGCAAACATTTTATTATTGGTTAGTTCAGAGTTTGGTGCACTGACTTTCTTATTTCACATGCATTTAAACGTTTCTGTCTGACTGGATCTACCTGAATGAATTAGTGAACACCCACTGTTTTCAACCTCTGTTGCTATGGTGATGTAGCTAGCCACAATGAGATCCTCCTCCATGAAAACACAAGCTAAAAACACATTTAACACAGCATGAGTAGCTAAGCAGGAGGCAGTGTTGTGTTGTCATCCTCGTCCAGGTGAACGTAGAGCTGGGCCAGGTGTGCACGTCCAAGCAGAAATTAAATTGGAGCCCAGCTGGAAAGAACTCCTTCAAGTTTCCACCTAGCAAAGACACAAAAGGGGAATAAAATTCGGATCATGAACAAGAAACAGATTTTACATGTGACGCGCTAAAGAAGACACGACTAATCCTGTGTTCAGTGAGCTACAGCCTTACTTCCTGTTGAGTCTCCATGTTTGTTCCTTTACGTTTGTCCATCATACATTGATGGACAAATCCCGACACTCCCAGCAGGTCCCTGAGGTCCAGTAATCAAAGTCTACTGGTTGTGCAGCGCACCAGGGTGACCCCGGCTTTCCACCGGAGCCGTCAGCAGCACGTTACTGCAGCAGCACGTCATAGCTGCTGATGGGAACCGCTGTGGTCAACAGAACCTTTTCCACCGGAGCCGTCAGCAGCGCGTTACTGCAGCAGCACGTCATAGCTGCTGATAGGAACCGCTGTGGTCAACAGAACCTTTTCCACTGGAGCCGTCAGCAGCGCGAGTCGGCCGCGTCTCAGGAGCAGCATGTCGCGGCCTTTACGCGCCGGTTCTATTTTCTACGCGCGACGCCTCTGAAACGGGTCAATTTCGACATTTTTGGGGAAGGAAAGACAGGAAATCGGACGCGGAAATGGAGAGAAGCTCCTGAGATTTTCAGAATAAAGAACGTCCTGCCTTCCGGTTGCTTTACTTTAAAAAATGTTACTAACTGTGCGGCCCCGTGAGAAGTTATCACCTAGCTAGCGGTCTCCTTTGTTTTTCAGGTCCGTATTGGCGATTATAAAATGGACAGAACATAAAACACAAACCATGTTGTAGTTTTCTCCTGCTTGTTGTTGTGTTTACTGACGAAGTCACTCGTGTGACTTCGTGCTCGGTCGGTGACAGCTGCTCCCCTGCTGCTTCGCGTCTCGTGGGAAGGGCCAAGCAGCAGCTTACGCGAGCAAGACGTGCTGCTGCAGTAACGTGCTGCTGACGGCTCCCGTGGAAACCCGGGGTAAGGGTCGGATTTAAAATGGCTGCCACGTGTTACTTTTGTTGATTTGAAGTGTTGATGGTGTGCCACCACCCCCCCACCCCCGAAATTATTTGTGACAGGTCCAAACTCTGCAACATACGAGTAACCAGTAGATGGAGTCGACAAAATGAGCGAGACACACTCACCGTGGCGATTCCGTCTCTTGTTTAGAGGTCTCTCACACCATCTACGATACCGCAGCTGTTATCGTTTTCTGTCACATCCAAAAATTAACCAATTACTGAGCTCTTATTTTTTTTTTGACACCATGATTGTTTTGGTTGTTTGCGTAAACCTGACATCTCTAGTGCGCCCCCTAGTGCAACACCCCAGTACTACATGCAATGCAGTGCCACGTAGCAGCAAGTATTTACACATTTTTACAAAACCATGCCGTCAATTTGCCGCAACGCCGTGGCGACATCAGGGACCCATAGGTCATATAGGAGTGGTCAGACTGTGGCGGTAATGTGGTGCAATCATGTCGGTTTTATAAAAAGGAGATGGCGGCATAAAGGGGGTGTGGGGGTGGTCTGTGCAATGCAGCGAACTTCCGTTTATCTCGGACATATCTTGCTTTTCATTGCCATTGAAACCGCGGTCGTTAAGTTTTTTTTAATAAGCCGCTCTTAACCCTTTGATGCATGAATTATGAAATCTTCAACCATGATTTTTTTTAACAATTTTTTTCATTTGTCTTTAGGTGTGGATGAAACAAATTTCAACCAATATTTTTTGTAAAATTTTATAATTTACAAATAATTTATTACGTGTCCACCTCAGTGGACAGCGTGCGTTCTGAGCATGAAATATGTTGGCATGGCTTACTGAAGTCCAAATGGAGAGGCTCAAATGCAATAAAGTCTTCAAAAGCTGTGCTTAATAGCAAAAACAAATACAGTAATCCCTCGCTACTTCGTGGTTCGTTCATCGCGGATTCGCTGCTTCGCGGATTTTTTCTTTGGAGCATTTTTCAGGGGGAATTCGCAGATTCGCGGTATTTTTCTATGCGAAATATCAAGAAATTCTTGGTTTTTACATCAATTTCATCATAAAATGCACTTTTTGTAATAAAACTAAAAAAACACAAGTAAAAAAAAATGTTTTCTTGAGTTTTACCCACAAAAAGAGAATGTGATCATACGATAATTCAATAGGTTTCACAGACGCGGAAGTGATAGCGTCGGTGAAACGCCGGCTGATCTAGGGAAACCCCCGAGCGTTCGAGCGTCAACGAAGTGACACGGAAATGCCGGGCTTTCCAGAAGTAAGTAAGCTAACTTACTATGAGCTGATAGTTCGTTGGATTGATCGGTAGGTTGGAAACTCTGATCACGAATCTGAAGAAACGATGACTGAGTGGTGAGCTGGAAAGGCGACTTCCGTTTATAGCCGCGGTTTGTGACGTAGGTGCGACGTGGAGGGAATCCCCGCGAGGGGCATGCTGGGAGTCCCTACTTCGCAGATTTTCACCTATCGCGGCCAGGTCTGGAACGCATCTACCGCGATAAACGAGGGATTACTGTAAATAATAATTTCGAGTACCTGTCCACTGTAGTGACCATTATGCACCAAAGGGTTAAAGGTGTCTGTCCTCCACAGTTCCCATGCAGTCTGATGATCTGAGCTTCAGCTCTGACACAGAGACGCTCCAGTTTGCCTTCTCCGCTGATTTTGTTCAAAAAGCAAAACTTACGGTTGACTTTCATTTTCAATACATTTGCCGGCCGGAGCTCGGCATTAAGTCCCCACGCCGTCATGACCTCCCTGTGACACCACTCGGAGGACTCGGTGGTCTCCTTAAAAAGCAGCTGAAAACTCACCTATTCAAGCTGGCTTTGGTGGGCCTTCATCACCACCCGCTCCTCGTTCTGCTCTTTCCAGTCCCGCCTCTATCGGGATCCACTGATTTGCCTCTTTATTTAGTTTCTCTCTCCTGAAACAGTTTTAATCACTTTTTTTCTCATTTTCTAATCATTTTTAAAGATGTTTTTGTTTGTTTAAGGTTTTGTTCTTGTGAGGTGCCTCGTCGCTTTTATCCTGAGAAGCTCTATAAAGATCTTTCTTTTGTTTCTTTGTTCACATTTAGAGTTGTCATCGGGGGTCATTAAACCCGATCTGTGTCTCTCCCGCGCTCTCCTGCCTCCCCCCTCCTGCTCTTGTTTGTCGAGTAGCCACCGTCGTGTCTATCCATCCTCTCGTAGGTCACGGCTAATTGCAAACATCTTATTGACCAAATTACACCTAATCCACAGGATCAGTTATGCAGGATAATTAACTTATTCAGAGCGCATTCACCCACCTGTCTGGGGGAGGGGGGCGGGTGGATCTGCACCCCACACCTTCTCCTGTGCGTCATCTTTGTCCCGGCGCCGTGGCAACAGCGCTGATCTTGATACGACCTAATATGTCCACGACACACGCCCAGAAGGAGCGGTTTGGTTTGTGTGTGGGTGTAGCGTGATGTCAGCTGTGGGGAAACATTCTCACCACATCTGTGTCCATCTTGGTTCTTCTCAGGTTCACGGGGGCTCAGCCAAGTTCTCTGATCTGTACGAGCTGCAGGAAGACATCGGAGTCGGGTCTTACTCCATCTGTAAGCGCTGCGTACACCGAGTCTCGGCCATGGAGTATGCTGTGAAGGTAGCGTGCGTCTCTAGTCTTCGTGTCATGTGTGGTTCTGTGGACTAGAGGACCAGCAGGGGGCGGTGCAGGGTCAGGCTCCAGAAACGCTGTGATGTTCTGCTTCAGTTACACGGCTGTGTTTGTTTTTAAATAACCACTCTTTTTTTGTTTTGCTTCTTCTTCAGATTATAGACAAAAGCAAGAGGGACCCGTCTGAGGAGATCGAGATCCTGATGCGTTACGGACAGCACCCCAACATCATCACTCTGAAAGATGTCCGTAACTTTTAGCAACATCATGTCCAGAAAAATGCAGACCTGAGCAAATAAAAGAGGCAGTTGATTCTATCAGAGAAAAACCTCAGTAGGACTAAACGTCTATGTTTTAAAGAATAAAATTAGTCTTTTTTACGGGTTATTTGAATAAATAATATAAAAAGATGAGCCAAATACGCTTTAGTGCCGCATCCGTCCATGTTCCTCATCTCACCCAAACTCAGACACCCGTCCTCAGGAACACTCTCCAGCTCCAGAGAGGATGTGAAATCCCTCCAGTGCATTCCCTGGTCCATCCCAGCCTCCATCATCCATGAACCCCAAGATTCACTCCCAAGTATTCCATCATTTTCCGTTTTCCTCCTCCAACCTAAATTGTTAAGGGTTAGGACTTCGCTCACACAATCCAAGCGTCTCCACTATCCAGGTCCCATCCTTGCTAGATCAGATCTGCAGGCTGGGTCATTCAAGCGACTGGACCTGAGATTCTGACTCTTTGCTGATTGCATCCCTGAGTAAAGATCCGAGAGCTCTCTGCTCGGTGGGAAGAAGCTTTACTTCCTGAAAAATGACGTCATGAACGTCTGAGGCAGATGTTCGTGACCACCATGTATTTCCTGGTTTCTGCCTTCGTGTTTCTTCTCGTTTCTTTGTTGATTTAAATGGAGAGGATCTTTAGCTTTGCACTGCGTTGAGTTATTTTTCTTGGAGCGGCTTTTCTTTAGTTTCGTTTTCTGCTGATTGTGTTTGAGATTTTCTGTCAGACGGCTGCAAGAGCATCTGCAAGCTCTTTCCTTAAAGACCAAGTTCACTTGTTCTGTCAATACCTTTGCAGTGGTCTCTAATGGCGCGCACTGGGAGGTGACTAACAGTCGCATTGTGAAGAAGTTGAGGAGTCTGAGTCTGCTTGTGACCAAGCAAGGTCACGAGCGCTGAGAGCTCAATAAAGAGAGATCGAACGCAAAGCGGCGTGTTGTGAGTGGTGTGGGTGAACCCCGGTGTAGCTGGTTATCGCTAGAAAGTCTGTTTTCATGTTCAGCCTGCGTGTCAAACTCTTGGTGACCAATCGTGTAGGTTTCACAGTGAACTTGGCCTTTATCCAAGAGGCAGCAGTAGCTCAGGAGGTGGAGCAGGTTATTGGAAGGTCGCAGCTCCGACCAGACAGGATATCCGCGGGTCCTTAAAAAGTCTTAAAAAGTCTTAAATTTGCTTTTCCAAATTTAAAGTCTTAAAAATCCTTAAAAATGACAAATAATCCTTAAATACAGTTTCCAAAGGTCTTAAATGACCAAAGACCCAATAAACAAGATTCTTTTATTTCTATAACATTTTTGTGAATTTCTAGTTAGTGTTCAGCATTTTATGTGTACGATGTTGCCGTAAGCGGAACCGTACACATTCAGTTGGTTGTGAAAGGGGGCTGTTTTTAGATGAGCACATTAGCTGGTTAAGCTAGTGGGAGCTTGCGCCATGGGGAAGTGCAAGTTTAATGGCTACTGGACGGCTAATCCCACGTTTGCGACGTGGTTAGCACCGGTTCCAGGCAATAGCTGGAAATTATAGCTTAAATTCGGTCAAAGTGGCCTTAAAAAAGGTCTTAAAAAGTCTTAAATTTGGCGTCCTTAAACCTGCAGATACCCTGGACCAGAGAATGCTGCTGTCGTGTCTTTGGGCAAGACGCTTAACTCCCCTTGCCTTCTGGTGGTGGTCAGAGGGACCGGTGGCATCAGTGTTCGGCAGGTCTCTGTCAGTGCGCTCCAGGGCAGCTGTGGCTACATGGTAGCTCATCACCACCAGCGTGTGAATGGGTGAATGACTGATTGTGTTGTGAAGTGCCTTGGGGGGGGGGAAACCTAAGAAGGTGCTATACAAATACAGACCATTTACCATTTTAAAGTGACGATGTAAATTTTTACGGTTGATCTCTGGAAATATCCGGCAAATGTTGCTAAGATGAATAAAACGACGTCCAGTCGGCTTTTTAACATAACCGTAAAAATGAGGTCAAGTTCATAGGGCGCAGGTCTAGCGTCTTTGATATGCATGTTTGTACTGCCCCCTAGTGGCAGGAAACTACACACTGCCACTTTAAATCACAGCCCTATTCTCCCTGTTGGATTCGTGCCGCAGTTCTCTCCTCTAATTCTTATTAGACAAATGCAGGCGCAGCTGTTGATAATCCATGAGTGGTGTGGATTAATGATGTGGTCTGTGTGCTGCAGGTGTACGATGAAGGCCGCTACGTGTACCTGGTGACGGAGCTGATGAAGGGAGGAGAGCTGCTGGATCGAATCCTCAGGCAGAAGTTCTTCTCTGAGCGAGAGGCCAGCGCTGTGCTCTTCACCATCACCAAAACTGTCGACTACCTCCACTGCCAAGGGGTGAGGGAGCGCATCAGCAGCACATGCCAGGGGGGAGGGCGGGGTCTGACGTCAGCTCTAACTCTTCTCCTGCACAGGTGGTCCATCGAGACCTGAAGCCCAGTAACATCCTGTACATGGATGACTCTGGGAACCCTGACTCCATCAGGATCTGCGACTTTGGGTTCGCCAAGCAGCTGAGAGGAGGCAACGGCCTGCTGCTAACGCCATGTTACACCGCCAACTTTGTGGCACCAGAGGTGAGAGAGGAAAAGCCTTGCTGTTTCATCTGGAGCACGTGGTTTGGATCCGTGGATTCTGGGACTTAAGGGTGGGTCGTTTCGTAGCGTTCGAGATGCTACGGTAGGGCTGTCGCGGTTGAGGAATTCCTCCTGCGGTGATTCAGGGTGGCTTAATATTGCGGTGTGCGATATTATTGCAGCATTTTCTTTTTATTGCAGTACTATCTAAACATAATGTTTACACATTTAAAAAAGGTTAAAAATTGCCGTGCCTTCTTTAATAACACTTTACTGAATGCAGATCAAAGGGCAGTAACAACACAGATCGCAGTAACGTTTGTTTCTCCGACAGTCGGAGTCCGACTGAACTGAAAAACAACAAAATTCAGGAGAAGGTTAAACTTTTAAATGCAAATTTGGCTGCAGCATCTAACAAATAAGAAACAAGTCCCCATTTTGTTTAGTTGTTTAAAATCAAGCATAAAAAATGACATGTACCGGGCGCGGGGGGCACTGTCATTTCACTTTCACTTTCACACACACGAATGACGGTGCTTTATAGCTCGGTCACGTCCTTGTTACCCACAAGGAAAACCAGCATGTTAACCATATACGCTTTGAGAGAGGATCTGAGAGGGGCGGCAACATTTGCAGCAACACTGAAAACCCTCTCGGATGGTGCGCTCGTTGCACTAACGCACACGTACTTGCGTGCGACTCTGGCGAGCAAAGGGAATCTCTCCCGGTTGTTGCTCCACCATGTCACGGGGGTTTCTTTAGGGTGGATGCATTCCTCCTGCAGGTAGCGAGTGAGCTCCAGCTCGGCTCAAACTCTCTTCAGGACGGCTGCAGAAGCAGTGCTTGTCCGGGACTTCAGCAGGTCTCCGAGCGTTTATTTATTTATTTATTTATTTTTGCCGCTGGTGGCAGCTCCGTCTCGGCCAAGGACTCTGGCTGCGCAGCAGCTGACGTACTGAAAACCAAAGCGCTCCCAAAGGAGCGAAGTAACGTTTGGTTTTGATACCAGTGCAGCCGTCCTTCTCAACATGCATCATTGAGTTGAACCAAGTTCAGTAATCGCGGTGGCCCATGATGCAGCGCGGTGGGCTTCTTCATATTGCGATATTTCATTTTTGCGGTTACCGCGACAGCCCTATGCTACGGTAAATCTTTCTTGCTCGTGAAAAAAAAATCACGATGCGCCAATTTCGTGATGTAATTACATCCACTACCAGAGGATTATGCTCAGGTGGGTCACGCAGCGCAGGATTATTAATGCAAGCCCCCGTACCGGTTTCCTGTTCAGGCAGTGGGGTTTGACCCATCTCAACACTAACAGGGAAAACAAAAAACAGGCACGATTTGACCAGATGCTAAATGAACGCCAGCGTGGTTCCTGCTAGCTTGCCGCTTCTCCGTTAGAAGTTTTTTCTTTTGTTGCATCAGATTTTTATAAGAAAGCGGAAACCTTGACCTGTTTGTGTGTGTGTGTGTCTGGTTTCTGTGAACGTGTCTGAACTCCAGACATCAACGAGCATCGTCCGCTAACGTCATCCCTCCTGCTTTTTAACTTCTGAAACATCGAGTACAAAACAGCCGCTCCTTGTTCGGCACATAAATAATCCAGTTTTTTCTTCTTCTCAAGAAGAGCCGGGAAACTCTTCCAAAGCCCTCTGTGTCTTACAGCCTGGTTTATACTTCTCCCAGAGGTGTGACCAAGTCACCGCTTTGCAAGTCACAGGTCTTCCCAGTCAAGTCTCGAGCCAAGTCAAAGACAACCAGGTCTAAGTCGAGTCCAATGTCAATGATGTGGAAGCCCGAGTCAAGTCCAAGTCCTTAACTTTGAATTTTCAAGTCATAATCAAGTCACCTGTCCAACTTGGATGTAATGACGATGATAATAAATAAATTACAGAAATAAAGATTCTTAAAGCAGGAAGTGAAGCTGATTATAAACAAAGAGCTGCTGCAGTCAGCAGCAGATCAAACCCAGAACCAAGGACGGTTCATGATTTTTGTCCACGTCGTGTCACTTTTGTGCTGAAATATCAAAGATGCATCAAGTCAACAGATGCAAGTCGATTCAAGTCGCAAGTCATTGGCATTCAAGTCCGAGTCAAGTCGTAAGTCTTTATAGATTTTATCAAGCCAAGTCAGAAGTCATTAAAATAATGACTCGAGTCCACATCTCTGACTTCTTCGTGAGCTCCGCAACAGAGAGAAGCACACGGAGCGTCGGAAAGGTTTTCACGTGCAAACGTGAGTGCAGGCAGCGGAGTGTTGACAAACAGTTCCCCACCAGGACAGCAGGGGGCGTGCTGCTTCTCTGTGGCATCCTGCCACCATAACGCTCACGATGCTGTGTTTACTGACGTGTTATGTAGTTCAGAGACTTTATAACACGGACACATTTGTGCTTCCTTCTCCTCCCGCCTCTTCATGCGGTCGTCAACTCTAAACCCGCGTTTCCCGTCGTTTCCGTCCACATCTGCTCCATAGTTTGTACTCCTTCAGTCGCG